GAGGGGCGGCCCTCAGCAGCGGGAGGACGGCCGGCGCCAGGGCGAGGGGCCGGGGGCAACAGCACGAGGCTCCTTCCGAGCCCCTGAAAGAGGAAAGGGGAGGCAACGCAACGGCCCTTTGGCCTTTTCCACAAACCCCCCGCGGGGACCCGGCAGCCCTGCGAGGCAGCCGTACTGTGAGCACTGACCGGGGGGAAACCAGTTTGTTCCCCTACCTGGTGCCGGTCCCTTCCACAGGACAGCCGTGGCAGTACCAGGAGACCGAGGGCATTTACTTCAAGGAGAAGACACCGTTCGCTGTGGCTCCACACATACAACGATTCGAGACAGTACTTCCTCCACAATTTTTATTTTAAATTACAAAGGATGTTGCATACATTGATGAATTTGTATCTGAATAGAAGTGCTAGGGATCAAGGGTGACAGAGTAAACAAAGTCAATAGTTCAATTGTGCCTCTTTTCAAAAAAATAAAAACTGCACAACTATTAACCAACATTAAACATTGCAACTCTTAACAGATCATGCTTTTAACAAGGTAAATTTATTTTCTAACAGAGACAAGACTTTCAGTAAGTTTTTCTGAGCTCCAGTTGGAAGTTGATTATAGAATATCAAGGACAGCATTACAATCATGACCCCAAGCATAGGCAGAACAGGATGCCACGTTTTGTTTAAAATGCCTTTTTTTTTTGCCTGTCAGCCACCTACATCTGCATGTGCCATCAGCCTTAAGAGTTCACCCAGCACAAATACTGAGCAGTAAGGTTTACTTGGACATAATATTCCGGTAGGATAGATGACTCAAATCAGAATGTATAAATATCTGTCATTATAAGAAAAATTAATAAAATTAAGTGCTACTACTAGGTTGTTTCTTAACCAGAAAATTTTGATAGGGTGGAGTGTGCTTTTGCCAATACCAAATCCAATCCAGAAGTTTTCCTTACAGTAGCTAGTCAACTCACCCAAATTTGACTTACACAGACACCTGACTGCAAAATATTCTTAACTCAAGAAAAACTGAACACAGATGTTATCTAACAAGTTTGGAGGTG